CATGAGAGAAACCCTAATCGAATTCCATGGATTCAAACCATATTTCCAAACAATAGTCAAAACCAGATTCATATTCAATCTATGTTATACTTAGGAATGGAAAAAAAAGACTCAATAAGCTCGGGTTTGCAGTAAAAATCGTAGATTAACGGGGAACAGAATTACAAGCTGTAATGGAAACCAATTTTTAGAAGTAAAATTGCATAAAACAAACAAAAAGATATCAAAGAAGCAATTTAAATCAAAGTCACACAAGTGTTTCCTTGTTGGTGGAGGGTTTTTTCTTCAAATAAACTTAGTGACAATGGAGTGAGATTTGAAGTTCTATTAGAAGCTCATTTTAATGGGTTTTGGGCATTGCCAAAACTAGGTTTTGATGGGTGTATATGGATCCAACAACCTAACTGATGTCAAAACCTAGATATACAAAATCAGGTTTTGCGTTCCAAAATTAGTGAAATTCTACTTCTCTTTTTCTTTCGCGTGTGCTTGCCTAAACAAAAACTAAGATGCCATACTCTTCCACTGGGTTCCTTTATGGTCTATGAGGGCCCATTTTGGTCCTGGGAAGCTACACCAATTTCGGACAAGGAAGATTTTGGGGTTGTTTGGGTACAAGGATTCAAGGGCATAAATTTTTACCAATGCACATGGCCGGTTCCATGTATATGATGTGGATCCCTCAAAAAATATTTTTTAAAAATATCTATTTCTTGTAAAATGCATTTCTCGTGAAAAATATTCCTTAGAAAATAGATTTTTATTATTTGGATTGCACCTAAATGAACCTTAGAGTTCCCTGAACTGAGGAATGTTGACGTCTCAAGCTAATTATAGTTAAAAAATATTGCATCTAAATTAGCGGTGAAAAGATGAGTATCCAAAACATACTAGACGTAATGAATTTAAGGTCAAGGTGTATGAGATTAGGGACCAATAGAGGGGAAGGGCCATTTAAATCTGTTGTGCTCAAATCTAGCTTAGTTACAGAGAAAGGCAACTTTTGGTCGGGGATTCTGCCTATGAACTTGTTGGTATTAAATAGACAGAGATCGGAGACCAAGGTCCCATCAACTTGCGCTTGACTTGGCTTTTTCTTATTTCCTTAGTTGAGGAATTCTGGAAAGATACGATAGTAGATGGTTGGAAAGGTTTTCAATTGACCAAAAATTACAATTGCTGAAAGAAAAAAAATAATCTATTAGAGAAAATCTGTGTGGGACGATTTATAGTCCTAAATTGGTGAGGCGAGAGGTAACATTGAGGATATGGACAATTTTCAGTATATAGGAAACTTCCTATACGAGGAACAACTTAGTAATGGAAGTTTATGGGTAGCTAAGTATAAGGAATTACTCAGATTGGAAGAGATTTATTTGAGACAAAGATATTGGGTGAAGTGATTGAAGGAAGGAGATAAAAATATAATATTCTTCTATGCTATCACCAATGCTAGAAGAATGGGCAATTCTATCTAAAATCTGAAAGTTCAAGGGGTAGAATGTGAAGATGGACTAGGCTTAGAAAATGCTTTGGTAAGTCATTTTAAGGAGGTTTTCTTGTCTGATAATGGAATAAATATGTCGGTTCAACATTAATTATTTGTGAAACTACTCCTAGATCAAGCAATATGGCTAGAAAGAAAATTTGAGGAACAATAAATTAAGAAGGCAATTTTTTGTCTTGGAAGAGACAAAGCCCTAAGACCTGATAGTTGTCTCTTAGCCTTCTTTCAATCATTTTAGGATCGTCTGAAAAATAACATGATTCAATTGTTGGAGGAATTCTATTGGAGAGGTGGAATTAATGTGACAATGAATTCCACCTTCATTGCCTTATTCTTAAGAAAAAGGTAATTGAAGATGTGAGAGACAACCGCCCCATCAGCTTGTTGAGTAGTCTTTATAAAATCATTACACAAATACATGCCAATAGATTATGAAAGGTGATCCACTTGGTTATTCGAGATCCTCAATCTGCTTTCCTAAAAGACAGACAAACTATGGATAGCATTATGGTCGCTCAAGAATATTCATTCCAGAATCAGAGAGAAAAAGTTGGGTCTTCTTTATAAGATAGATTTTGAAAAAGCCTATGATAAGTTGGATTGAAAAATGCTCCAAAGTATCATGAGCAGGATGGGCTTTAAATCGAGATAAAGGATCTAGATTGAGGGATATCTTTCATCTTTGCGCTCCTCAATTATTGTGAATGGCAAAGCAACTGCTTTATTTAAGAGTTCTAGAGCCTTAGACAAGAAGATTCATTATCACCTTTATTATATACATTGGTGGCAAAAATTTTCAGTGTTATGCTAAGAGGTGTATCTTCACATAGTCTTATTTCAAGCATTGAAGTTGGGAACAATGGTGTAATTGTTTTCCAGATTTTGGTCTTTTCTGAGTATTATAGTTTTATAGATTGGATTTTCCCATGTACAAGTGCCATTGTTGAACGGGCAGCCTATCTGTTTTTCAGTGCATATTCTAGTGTCTAATGGAATCCCAACACCTGCAATTGAGTGAGAGAGAGAGAGAGATTAAACACCATTGCATAGAAATCAAATGTATGATGAGAGATATGTAGCTAAGATGAGGATGTTGAGATAGATAAGTAATAAGATACGAAGGGATAGAATTCAAATTTAATACATTCGGGAAAACTTAGGTGTAGCTCCAATAGATAATAAGATGAGAGAAGGTAAACTTAAGTGGGATGGTTATATGCAGTGCAAACCCAATACCACACTTGTTAAGCTGTGCGAGTTGATTCAAGCGGAAGGCGAGTTGGTTCAAGTGAAAGGCTAAAAAATGTAAAAGGTAGGCCCAAAAAGAAATGATTGGAAGTAGTAAGAAAAAATATGGGAACTTATGGCTTCACTGAAGCTATGACCCTTGAGAATAAAATAACGAATTAGGATTCACATAGCTACCCCTAATAGTTGGAAAAAAGCTATTATGATGATAATGATGATGAAGAAGAGAGAAACAAATTGGGTTGGTTCATAGAGAGAGAAACTTGAGAAGAGAGATAACTTTGGGGTTTTCTATGAGAGAGAGATTTTTGCATAAAGAAGAGAGGGCTTAGAGAGACAAGGCTGGATGACAACTAACCAAAAAAAACATGTGAATATGAAGAAAATGGTTGTTTCGCTTTCCAATAGAAAGACGAGCAAAACAATCCGTTGCGCCCTTTATCATGCGTAGGCAAAGGAGTGTTCAAAAATTGTAACTTAAAAATAAGATCTCGTAGGGTTTTTTTTTCTTAAGGATAATATTCCTAGGTCAATTTGTTCTAGAGAGAAAATAGAGGATATAGAGAAAAATGAAAGGTTTCTATACTTCCTTTACAGCAAAGAAGATCTATGCTTCCTTCCATCCAGCTGTCCAATTTTGATCAAGAGAGCCGATCACCGTTTGATATTAGATCCGACGTCTCAAAGTATTTTAGTTTTTTGTTTTTTTATACAAATTATAATGAATATGAAATTTTGTATGTGTCTTTCTCATTGGGGTGCACCTATAAAAAATATTAAAAATAATTTTTGATAAAATATAATAACCAAAATACCTCTTGAAATTTTCAGGGGTATTTTGATCATTTTATTTTATTGAAAATATTTTTTATATAATTTTTTACTAGTGCGAGTTTAATCGAGGATTGGACCTCCAAAATTTAATGTCAAAATAGTTTATAGAAAAACAATTAAAAATAAAATAGTGTAGAGACATAACATTGTGATTGGGGCAATCTTAACCCTCCATTCAGAATGGATGGTCGGATAAGGGGAAGGATATAAGTTTTACATTTTAGGAGAAACATAGAAAACTTGCCCTAGGGAAAAAGCCCCATTCTTTTTGTTGACCTGGTTGCAAAATCTCCTTTGTCCAAATAAATGGACGGTTGACATGTCTGTAGCCCAACTTCTATAAATAGGTTGCAGCCTTATAGAAATTGCATCCTTTTCTTATAAGGAAAATGGTTTGATAGTGCTGCAGCCCTATCAAATAAGTAAAGCCTCGTCTCATAACTCATCAAGAATTGTAATTCAAGCATTGGAATACCTTTGCATCAATTATCTCGGCTTGAACATTATGGTTGTGATAATAAATTAGGATTTCAAGCTCTAAAAATAGGATATATTATAACAAATTATCTAAACCATATGTTTTGCGCTAAAATAAGTGTTCATAGATCCACAAGATCTGTACATTTTTCAAGTTTCAAAATTTATTGTTGGTGTTAAAAATTGATTTTAGAGATATCATGATGATTTTTGTTGTTGAAAGTGCTTTCCAAACGAGGATTTGATTGAGGCTTCATTTTATTTTCATAAAGCCTAGGCCCTATAGAAACTTAAGAAGTGTTAATCCATAATTTAAGGGTGTGGTTTCTATAAGGTTGCGACTTTAAACAATCCAATTAAGGTGCACCTCCAAATTTTATCATAAGTTGTAATTTTGGTGTAAAACATTTTTAGGATTATATACAAATCTATTTTTATATCTAATTATAAAATTTTAAACTTCAAAAATAATTAAAATCAAGTAGATCTATAAACATATGAAAATCTTGAAAATAAATAGTCTAGATAATGTGTTGCAAGCTGCACTATTTATAAGAGTCAATATCTTCTTCTCTTTTTTTATCATATTCATACATCTCGTTATCAAGATGATAAGTTAGAGGGTTTTTATCATATTCATACATCTCGTTATCAAGATGATAAGTTAGGGGGTTTTTAACATTAAAACAAGCTTTTACGATTGATTTTTTAGGTACATCTTTGATTCTATATTTTAAGATTGCAACCTTATGTAAACTTTTTCCATAATTTAAACTTGGAGTGTTTTTATTTGTCCGCACGGACACTCCGACCTTTTTAAAGGTTTTGAAATTAGGTCTGGACGAAGCTTTGGAAGTGGCCTCGGAGATCCGTTGTTCCTCCGAGCCTCTCGGCTTGGCAGATCACACCCCTTTTAGTTCGTTCTTACTCCTCTCTCTCTCTCTCTCTCTGCAATTCTCATTGTTGAATTACCATTTCGTCTTTTCTTATTTCTAAACTGTGTCTCTTATTCTATAAAGAATCAGGTTCTTGTTTTCCTTCTTCTTCTGTTTCTTCATCATAGGCTCGTTCTTCCTTTTCTTGGGAGCAGCGCCGTCTTGTTAAGGATGGCAATGGTGGAGCCTCTCAACCCTGAAAATGGAGGTTAGACGTTATTCCCCATCCGTCAGTTTTCTTACTTTTCTTCGTCTTGCTTTTCATTGTTTCTTTCCAAATTCTCTTCTTGTGGGATTCTAACAGGCAGGTTAGGGGTTTTTTAATCTTCTCTAAAATAATACCCAAATCTTTTGGTGTTTCTTGAATTGTTGTTGTTTGTTGTTGTTTTTGGTTTTTTTGGGTGCTTTTCTTATTTACTCCTTGCAATGGTTTCTGCTTCACTGGGGTGTAATGCTCTCTCTATTACTGTTAGGATTAGGGTTTGGATTGATTTTTATTCTATATTTATGGTTCTTTAAAGTTTAATTCTTTCATTTGGAAGCTAGGGCTAGGGCTAGGGCTTGGGTTTCTCTCGATTTCTGGTTCTTTAAGGTTTTACTCTGTTTCTTGTTGTTTCGAGGGTCATAGTTAGGGTTTTCTCATGCCAAAGGCCATGGTGGTATTTGGTGGTTGTTTTAGGGAATAAAAGTGCAGAAAAATCCTGCCAGAAGCCATCCTTGGGGGCCAGGAGGAGATTCTCAGACATTACCAACCTTTCCAGAGTGAAAACCGAAGTGAAAAATGAAAATGCAAAGCCAATACTCATGTTCAATACAGATATGATGGAGCAGGTTCACAAGGTACTAGGGTTTCCTTTGCTCTTAAATTAGGATTTTTAGCATTAACAATCATTTTGTTGATGGTTGGGTTACAATTCTTCTTTTTAGTTCCTGCAACAATTACTTCATGTTACTTTCCTAAAAAATCGCATCCTATTTTGTTTCTTTGAATTTGTTTATTTCAGGAGAATGCTGCTCTTCTGGGTCTTCTTGCACAGAGAGAGTATCCTTGCATTTATCATTCTCCCAAACACATCCCTTTGATATGTTTATCTTCCCCTCTGAAAAAATGGCTCCTTCCATCTATAAGCCGTGTTTCCTTAATGCTTTTACAGTGAAACAATTAAATTGTGCAGGCTCGAGCTTCAGAAAGTGAGAAGTGAGTTGTTGAAGACAAACTGGCACCTTGCTCAAGTCAATAGCCAGACCTTGGCGGTTCGTAAAGTTTTCATATCTGTTTTCCACATTGTTTATGATTTGTATATCAGGAGTTCATGATATGAAAAAGAAATGATTATGTTAACATTCCTGACCCTTTTCTGATAATCTGTTTTTCTTTTGATCTTACAGGAACTGAACATAACAAAAGAGAAGGTATTGAGCCTTTTTGGTCGTTGTAGCATGACTTGCATGTAACTGTTTATTTTATTTACTTAATGAAATTGGGTAGGGGGGTCAAATCCCTACTGATTTACCCAAAAAAAATAGCATTTTCATTTATGTGATTCTTACCCCAACTGAAGATCTCCATTTATTGTATTTATTTCATTAAGTTATTCAACCAAAAAAACTCAATCCAGGGACTTATACTAATAGAACATGTCAAATGGGAGATAACAGGAGAAACTTTTGAAAAGATTTCATATTTTGACTCTGGAATTGAATTTGTTTTCAGATGAAATTGCTGCAGCATGAACATGGTATTGTCACTGGAATGCTGAAAGCTAAGAATGCAGAACTCGAGGTTGTTTTAAACTTAATTAATTTACATATCCTTATGAGTTGTTTCTCCTCAAATCCTTTTTTCTCATAAAGAATATTTTGTACTTGTGCAGAACAAAGTCAAAACTTTATCTCAAGAGCTCCACACACTTCGCAAAATCAACAAGGTTGCAGAATTGTTATTTGCAAAAACCCATATGTTAAATGCCTATCCATGATACTTAACTCAATAACCTGTTATTATTAGTTAATCTGTTTATGTTTAATTCTGCTTTTCCTTTTACCGTTTTCATACTGACCAGGATGAGCACACTCAATGCGGGGAATTAATAATTAATAAAGGGAAAAGTTGAAGGAGCTGACCTAAACACTCAGAAAAAGACCCTCTCAAGAAAATCTGGTAAGAGAGCACACACTGGGATAAAAAATTGCAATCTCTATTTTTTTTTGCACCTTTCTACGCCACTTGAAATATTATCCCACTTTTCTGTTTCTTCCTTGTTTGAAAAACTTTTACAGAAATATGCCCTTGCACCTCTACCCAAATTGCAAAAAAAGGAGTCACACAAAACAAGAGGTATATTTCTCTTTGTTGAAGTATATATCTATTTAAGGTTTTCCCTGAATCTTGATATACTAAATGTGCTCCTTTACCTTTGTAAATATTTAAATCAGGGCATCTTTGAAGAGGCGATCCAGTAATTTTAAATTCAAAATACCTGATGATTCAGAAGACTTATTTGAGATCGAGGATGTCAACTTTCCACTTCCTTCACAACGCCATGATCCAATGGAAGTGGACCAATCCAATGACTCATCCAATCATAAAGGGACAGCTCCTGATGGCACAGTAGCTAAAGAACAGCCCATTGAAGGGAACACTGATCAGAAAGGAGAGATGAGATCTAGAAAATCGGGTTTGACAACTGATCAATTTCCAAGGAGGTCCTCACTTGGAAGGCCAGTTCGTTTAGTTGCAGAAAAGGTAACATCATACAAGGAAATGGCAATTAACGTCAAGATGCGAAGATAGAGTGATTACAGCTCAATGTGCAGATTATAGGCAGAAAGCTTTGAATTTGTCAATCTTAGATATAATCTTTTCTGTGGCCTTAACCAGCAGTTGGGGTAGTTTGGCCATAAAACTGAGGGACATGGAAAGATTGCTCTAAAATTGAACATCAAAATGCTCTAAAATGCTGTTCATTATGTACAATGATTCTAGATTGTGACTGAGAGCTCTTCTAGTTGAATGCAACCACTGGCCTTGAATTTTCTTTCTTGGATATTGTCTTTCTTGCAGAATTGTAGGCAATTGGCTACTTAGGGCACAAAAAATCAGGGAACTTGTAGAGATCTCCAGTTTCTTTTATCTTTTGGGATTTTTTTTAATATGGATACAGCTTCATGTACTGAGTATGTGCTCTAATGACTCTAGAGTGTAACTGAGGTTCTTTTAGTAAGATGTAATTACAGTTCTTGAATTTTGGTTCTTGATTATCCTTTTCTATGGGGCACCTTATAAGCAGTCCTAGTCTAGACACAGAAACCAAGGGATTTGAGGTCCCCATTTCCCTTTCATCTCTTGAGATGATGGTTTTGCAGGATCTTTCCTCGCATTGGCCCTTACAAGTGCCCCAATTTTGGGAAAGAGAGAACAAATAAGTGTACTTTATGTTATTGGGCATATTGATCTATGTCCAATTACCTATCCATGCAAGATCTATATTATTGGGCATATTGATCTATGTTAGAAATAGTGCACCTCATACTTCCTCTTTCTTTTCTGGTTTAACAATTTCAGCTTGAGCTTAATGTGGATCATATACTTGGGACTTTGCTAACTTCAGGCAGACCAAGGCTTAGCAGCTAAAAGACACTCTTGTACCTGAGAAGTACATCGGATGTTTTTCATCTAATGGGATGAGGTGCTCCTTTTCAAACCTTGTAAGGCTAGTTTCGGTAGTCCTTAAACCCATGTGCCTCTCTCTATAAGATTTGATTAATGGGTGTCGTTTAAATAAGGTTGCATCTACAAGGTCCATTTTAGTTGGACGTTGGAGATTTGATATGGCTTCTAAGACAATGTTAAAAAGTGGCATGTGTTTTAAGATAGCGTGTCGTTTGTATAAGGTTGAGGCCCTAAAGTATGGTGCGCCTTCAAATAGTGTCGAAAGATGTTTCAATATGCCTTCAAATAGTGTGGAAAATGTTTCAATACAGAAAATCTTTATGATGGCCTGAAAATTTATTTGTATATCTGATTATAAAATTAAGGACCCGGTTTTTATGCGTCTAAGCCCGCATCTATTATGTTGCAGTCCCCCATCCAAGACGACCATATAGGAGTTGATGATTCACAAATTTCAAGATGGGGTAACCGAATAACCGGAACCCCAGGTTGTGATGAAGTGAGTTGTCTTCAAAGGCGGCTACAAAATATATAGAGAGCCACGCGTGCCTCATATTCCTACCTGTACATGCAGGCCCCCCTTATCCCCAAAAATCTTGTCCCAATTTTGTGCTCAATCTTCGCTGGTTGCCCTCATTTTTCCCAGCATCCCATACTCTCTTTCTTCCTTGCTCTCTCGTCAACTCCCTTACACTCTTCTCTCCATCACCATGACTGGTGGTGTTTTACATAGAGAAAAACAATCTCTGAATACCCACTTGTTTTTAAGAGGGAGGGAGAAATTGAATCAAAACAAGAGAGAGAGTGGGTTTCTTTCCTTGGACTAAACTTTTTTTTAGGAGAGACAAAATCGATTTAAAAACTGAGATACTAGGTGGGTTTCTTTCCTTATATTAAAACTCTTTTTAACTTTTAAGAGAGACAAAATTGGATCAAAACAAGAGAGAAAGAGGGTTTCTTTCCTTGAATTACTCTGTTTAAAGAGAGAGAAAATTGGATTAAAACAAAACAATCTAGAGAGAACCAAAACAATCTAGAAAGAGAAACTCTTATGATCTTGAATTAGGTAGATGCCAGGGATAGAAAGATTAACGATTGAAATCTCGAGAAACCAGCAAGAATCAAGGATTCTTTCTCTACAAAATTCAATCAATCTTTCAAATCTCCTGGCAAGCGTGCCTTCTTGCTTTTGCCAATTTCTACTTTTCAATTGTGTGTTATCTCCAAAGAAACTACATAATTTCAGCAAAACATTTGTATCAGGTCATCTGTGATTCTCCATTAAAAGCCAGAGTGTACCTTTTGCCTGATGTTTGGGAGAGTTTATTTCTCTCTCATCTTCTTCCCCTTAAGGTTTGGTAGGGTGAAGAAGCCGAGTCCTTGCACCACAGCCTAGAGAAAGAGAGAAAGATAAGGGAGCACAGGTAGAGTTTTCAACCAGAAAATGTACTTAGGCACCTGTGAAATTGCTCTTTACTACAATCAATGACTCTAACCTCTGCTGCTGGCTATAGGAGGGCTGGTGCGAGAGTTGCAAGGCAAAAGAGTCTGGGGGGTTTCTCTCCCTTTGGTCAAACTATCCAATTTAAGAAAAACCCAGGTTCAAAATGGCGCATTCGTGTTGAAGCACTTGGACCAAGTTCTCTGTTTTCCCCTCCTCTCTTTCTCTCTCATCTTAATGCTTTTGAAGATAACGCCATTGTAAATATAGTCACTAGAGAGAGAGAGAGAGTTGTGTATGGAAATGGGGGGATATGTAAATCACTGGTGAAAGAGAGAGAGAGATAGAGGTGATGGAGAAATGATATAGGAAGCTGTTTAGTTGAGATATGTTTTAGAGAAGTTAGAGAGAAAATATATATATATATATATATATATATGTGTGTATATGTGTGTGTGTGTATGTGTGTTGCTGAGGGCTGCAAGTTGTTCTTATACATGGTGGTGGGCGAGCCAAATCAGGACAAGGCGGTCGAAATGGCTGCAGTAGAACCTCCGAGGCATAGAGGTAAAGATGAAGTCGATGCTAAATCTGATAGAAGAAGATGTGGATCCATTTGCAAAGAGGGCAGATATTTAACAATCAGACTTGAGCTTGTGAACTTGGTGAATGAGTTTATATGGCCTACAGAGCATTGGCTAAAAGATGCGATCACATATCTGCGTAGCTTCACAGTGCCAATAGCATCATAGCCACCGTCTTCCCCAAACAGTTTGCCATGGCTGAGCCAGACTCACCCTCCAACCCTTCTCCATCAAACAAAATTAGACAATTAAAACCTCTTCCAGGTCTTCTTGATGCGAAGATTGAACCTGAAAGCCTACAAACACTCAAACATTTGTTGAAGAAGCCACCCTTCTCTCTTGACACCCGCTCGAATCCTAGAAAGTGGTCGATAGACTACAAAGAGAAGCTCTGGTTTGGGGTTTAAGAGAGAAAATAATAAAAAGTTGATGATTTCATGCTTTTAAGTGAGAGAGAGAGAGAGAGAGAGGGAGACTGGGGCTGCTAGTCACGTTTCCCTGCCTCGATGACAGGGAACGACCTACACCACCCGATTATATAGACGGTGTAGATCTCCAAGCCCGCATAGTAACAGATACAGGCTTAGACGCACCAAACAATTTTCCAAAATTTATAACTTCAAAAATAGTGTAGATCGAGTATGTCTATTAGCACTTGAAAATTTTGAAACTTGATGGTCCAAAAATATATTACAAGATGCATTATTTTCAAGACTTGAAATCCATTTTTTCTCGTGTCCATTCATCTTCAAGTTGAATTGATCAATTTGAGGATTTTTGGCAATGAAACAACCTCTTCTAGTGAATTTTTGAAGCGCGCCTTAATTTGCTTGTTGAGGGCATCGCCCTTATATAAATTTTTCCTTTAAAATAATGCCAAATTTACATCGTCTAAATGAAATAGACCATCTAAATTACAAGTTGCAATCTTATGTAAATTTTTTTCTTGACTAAAATAGAGTGCAAATTATTGTCCACTGAAGCGTGTTTCCTAAGAGCAAAATGTTTCCTAAGAGCAAAAGAAACTCATGACAGTAATCAGTAAAACACATTTGTCCTTCTCCCTGCCATTTCTCGAAATACTTTTTTTATTCCCTCTTATCACTATTTATCACAAAGCATGATGATATATGTGATTCCAGTTTACGGACCAAGCCAAACTTTTGGAAAAATTATGGATTATATCCAAATCCACAGTATGCTACTCATGATGAAAATGAGGTTCCCACACATTCATGTAGGACTGCAAATATAATTTCCTTGCAACAATGAGGTATTAAATTTTTCATTCAAAAAATGTACCTTAACTCTTGAAGATAAGAAGAGATTAAGTCAAATTGTTTGGTCATCAAGTTAGTTATTGGTGATAAGGCCTCCTACGATTTACTTCTATCTCCAAGATTCATTATGATTTTCTTCTATATATAGAGACACATATTTGTGTAATCTTTATCTAAAATAGTGAAGATGTAGCCAGTTGGGCTTTGGATCCACGGACGTAAGGCTTCGGCCTGAACCACGTAACTCTCTTTTTCTCTCCATATGTCTATGAATACTCTCACAAATCTTAACATGGTATCAGAGCGGGACAAGTATATTGTCAATAACCTGGTTCACTTACCTCCTTTTCTTGGCGCTTCTCTTTCACCTTCTATCTCGATAAATCGAATTGCGATCTCTTCTTCATTTTCTTGGCGCTTCTCTTTCGCCTTCTATGTCTATGATCTGGTTCACGTACCTCCTTTTCTTGGCGCTTCACTTTCACCTTCTATGTCTATGACCTGGTTCACTTACCTCCTTTTCTTGGCGCTTCTCTTTCGCCTTCTATCTCAACAAATCGAACTGCGATCTCTTCTACGTTTTCTTGTCGCTTCTCTTTCGCCTTCTATGTCTATGACCTGGTTCACTTACCTCATTTTCTTGGCACTTCTCTTTCGCCCTCTATCTCGACTTCTATATCGACAAATCAAACTATGATCTCTTTTTCGGAGTTAAAGTTTCTTCCGCTTGTACGTGCCTCCTTTGAAAAAGACAGACAGGAGGAGGAGTCTGGCAAGCAATCTTGAGGGCAAAGAACCTTTGTTCCTCAGAGATCTTAACCAAATCTAAGGTTTCTCAGAGATCTTCTCTTTCTTCCCCTAAGATTGGCGTTGTTGATGTAAATCTTGAAGAATAGAAACACCAAGCTCCGCAGCCTCGAGCATCGTTCTTCTACTCTCTTTGTTTCTCTCACTAGGCCAATCAACATCTCTCTTTGCCATTGATACCTTAACCATTTTTTGTTTCTCTCTCTAGCTGGAGTGGTCACCATGAGAATGAGTTGTAATGGTTATAGGATTCTTTAGAAGGGTTGTAGTGAGAACTGCAGTGTAAAGCCATGCCTTCAATGGATTAAGAACCTCGAGTCTCAAGCCAATGCCAGTGTGTTCCTTGCCAAGGTCTATGGTTGTGCTGAACTCATGTATCTCATCAATGCAGGGCCTGATCACCTTCGACTTGCTATCTTCTGATCTCTACTGTATGAAGCTTGAGGGCGCATACTAAACCCCATCTACAGCTCCAT